CAGTATGAGGAGCCTTCTGCCAAGCTGGCCCGGAACCTCACTGGAAATGACCTGTGGTTGTTTGTTCAAGGTCTTAAAGGAAGTCTGGGAAGAAAAAGTTTCATGCAGTCCTCTACCATTGAACCTTTCCCCCTTCACCTTTCTGCTCTTGGTATCTATAATTCTAAATTCTAATTCTAATATCTAAATTCTGTAACAACTTTGTGACAGATTTGGTGTTCTTCCTTTCACTAAGGCCAAGAGAAAATCTGCTGCACAGAGTCCTGAGATACTTAATTTGGAAATAGTATCTTGAGCACTTGTCTCAAAATATAAATGGGGCTTAGCGTGAAGCAACTCTGAAGCTCAGAAAGGCCAATGAGCTTCTGTGTGGACTTCAGAAAGATGGCAGCTGCAGGAATGTGCAGGCTCTGAGTGATCAAGACATGGATAAATGATGGGACATGACATGAGAAATTGTTGAATATGACAATCTGAGAAGCTGACAAAAATTCAGAGAGCACTGTCAAGTACAGCTGGATCTTGCAGAAGGTAAAGGAGGAGGTATTTGAAAAAAGGTTAAATTTCGCAGGTGATTGAGAGGGAGTACTGGGGATGTTTTTTGGGCAACAGTACCTGGGTAACCCTATCAGTGATACCACATGAAGCTGAGATTACCTAGAAATGCCAGATTTGGGTACCCATATAGCAAAGCTGGGACCAGTTGGGGAAAAGTAATTAGGGATGGGTTGTTTATTTGAGAGGAGGTAGTGTGAGCAAGGTAGAAGTGTGGTGAAAGGGAGGATGAAGAACAGGAAAAAATGTAAGCAGTTGATCAGATCTGTTCAGGACACTGGCTGGGGAGTAACTGTTTGCTACAGTCTAATCAGGACATTAAATCAAGCTTGTCTGGCCCCACCACACGAGTTCTACATGCCTCTGCAGGATGAAAAGGGGAAGCTTTCCTCTTTGGACAGAGGGAGGAGCACCCAGATGGACAGATAAACTTTCTGGTCCTGTCAGGTCTATGCCAGGTCTGACAGCATCACCATCTACTCCTGGCTTCCTTAGAAAGCACAGAGCAACTCACTCTATTACCATAAGCCATGGCAATAAAGAAGTAGATGGGGTTATAGCAGAAGTTCCTTTCAATAATATGTTACCAGAATGATGATCCTTTCCTTAAAGGTAACAGTAGTTCAAATAATATGTCATTGGAAGGATTGTATCCAAGTTAAACAATCATCAGCTGTTTCATGCAAATATGTTATTACAGTGTGTTTCTCAGGAAATTAATATGAATGAGTATACATGCTGTTTCATTTAAGCAGATTATTGCAGCCTCCCCTGTGGATCTTAATCCTGCTCAGTTAGCACAATATTTCCTTGTCAGCTGGTTGCTTAATTTGGTCTGTTTGTTTAAGTGTTTATTGGTCTTGTTACTTCTTACTTTATTTTCTGCCCTGAATCACTGCCCTCTTTCTCTCTTCTTTTGCACATGACTGGATGACACTTGATGAAAGCAAGACAGCATTCATTACCATACACAGTTCATTTTTCTGTTTTGAGACAGAGACATGCACTGAACCAATTGCTTCCCACTTCTTGTGTTTAAGCTAGGTGGCCCTATAGCCAGTGTTTATGCGACATGGGAGGCCAGCTTTTATTGGAAAAGCTTTATTCCTTAGTTGGAATGAAAACTGAAATTTTTGCAGATAGTAACATTCCATATGTCTATGAAATGAAGCTGTGCAGAGGAAGACTGCTAGCAATATAGCATTGCTTTAGTCTGTAAAGTTTCCTGCTGGGTAAAGAAACCCTTTTTACACCTGAAAAACATCTATGAAACTCAGATATTTCATGCTTGGGAATTAGCATGTAAGTTCAGCTTCCCAAGAAGTCTTCTGTGCTATGCTGATAAATGTGGGCTAATAACATACTTTGCCTCCTCAGCATTTCTGCCTACATTACCCAAACACCTATTTTTTGGCAAAAATATAAATTAGCTAGCTCTTTCTCATACTAGGAATGGTCTCAGTTTTCCTGCCTTAGTAGCTAAAAGGCAGAAAATATATACATTGCTATCTAGACAATGCAAATGGTGTTCTCTTCTGTTTGGATCAGCATCTGCTGTAATACAGAAAACCATAATGAAGGGCTCAGGAAGTTTTGTAAAGTTCCCTTTCCAGATGTACCCACCAGTCTCAGGAAGAAGCCCAGCCTTATTTGTCTATCTTGATTTTGTAGCACTGTTGAATCACAGTTAAAACTCTTCATCCCAGTAACAGAGAAAGAGAAAAACATTAATGTTTTATTATTTCTTAACCTCTTGACTATCAGAATTTAGTGGAGAAAAGGGAATGAAGCAATTGATCTTTCATCACAAATGATATCTGATGGCATATTGGGAGTTGACAAGTGGCTTTCATACTGTAGGTCTTTTCAGATGTGTCATTCAGCCTTAATGAACCTCTACGGTGCAGCAACTGTGGCAGCTTGTTCTCCAGAACTGTAATCCCTCCTCTGCTATTAGGAATGGATGCCTGTAAGTGGGGATTTATTTTCTTTCCTATTTTTTCTATAGGTATTTGACTTATAGCATATCACTCCTTAAACTGTGTTTAAAATACTTGTAAATCCTTTGCAAACATGCTTTTATTAAATTCCGTGGGAGAGCAGAGATCTGATTAAGGTTCACATTAGTCAGGAGAATAAAACAATAAAAAGGATTTTCCTGAAGGAAATGAGGAATTCACATAAATGCAGTTCATGCCGTGTGACTTCATCAGGAAAGTTTTATGAGAGAGAACTGCTAATTCCATCAGTAAAGAAGTCATAGATGTGCTGCAAAACAGTTTCTTTGGATCCATCTGGTCTGTTCATAGATGAGTAAAACTATGAATTAAATGGGAAAAAAGTGAATGAAAAAGCCAAAGAAATAAACCAAGAATTTAAGTCTCCATTGGCATCAGGAAGTATTACCCTTCCCAGGGCCACGTAGCATATTCTGTGTTTCCAAAGCAGCTGTGTCATTCCTCATGCTGTTCCTGAAAAATGTGAGGGGGTGATGAAGGGAAAAAAAGGAGTCATTGCATGTCAGTGCTGGCCAAGAGCTGGTCACCCATTTTGCTCAGACACAGGGCTGTCCCTGGGGACATCAGCCTGGCTTCTACTCTGCTCACCACACTCTTTCAGTCAGTTCATTTACCAAAGCTTGTGTTCTGCTCTTGGCAAAGGCTTTCAACACAGTTTAATGTTTACACAAAATTCAAAAGATCTCACTAAGTCCTAGCTTTAAATTCCATTAGCCTAATTGCTAGGGTAATTTGAAAGTTTGTCATGCTGGATATAAATTTCTACACTAATTTATACAAAATACATCTCATCTTGCTGTTTGTTTAGAAATTTTTTTAAATAGGGTTTAAAAAAAAAGATTTAGAGGCATCATGGTTAGAAAATTAACCTTACCTGCATAAATCAGCAGATTGCTGACATATGTCTGCAGGCAGCAAAACTTTCCCTTGTTGAATAGAGATATGATTACTTGTTTCTTTTTCCTCAACAGCTCAACAAAAAGGATGGCAGGGGACCTCACCAGGGAATGGTCCTGAGTGTTTGGGGTGCATCTACCATTTATCAACCACATTAGTACATGATTTGATAGATTTTGTTGACTTTTAAATATTGAATTTCTACCCTAAGTTCAGTGTGTATTACATAGCATTTAAGGTAATAATTGGATTTCTTTAATGTGAAATGTAACCAAAAAAACTATAAAGCTAAAAAATTACCTTAGGACTATGGGTTTTGACTGTAGATATCTGAAGTAAAGCTAGATTTCCTATCTGTGCTTTGTTGAGGAATGCATAATGATTGTGCACTGACTAGCCAGCCTGCAGAAGTGGGTGTTAGCAGATAGTTCTCAGGAATCCAGTGTATTCCCACAGCTGGCATGCACAAAAATTGAAAGGGCTTTGCCATAATGGCTTAACCATCTTTTAATAAATACTTTAATAAATACTGAAATTACCATGCTAAACTGCTAAACTGCTTGCTATGAGCTCTCTAGCAGCAGACTCAGCCACAGCTTGAAGCATTTCCCAACATTGTGTCAAGTGATCAATCTGTCACAGAACCAATGGTTTCCTCTCCAGGGCAGGTTTTTCATCACACTGGAAAGGACAGAGTTGCTGAGCTAATCGAAGGCAGTTTACAGCATGAATTCAAGACCATACCTCAGTGATATCAGCTCCTTCAAAATTCCATTACAGCTGTGTAACACATGCTTAGCTACTTATTTCATTAAAATCTGGTTTTTATATGTGGGTTGTACCAATCCTTCCAGAAATGTCTGATGGATCTTTATTAGCTACATCAACTTCCTGGGCAATCATTACTGCTTTATTCCTTTTTCATTATTTTCTTCTTAACAGCAATTTAGTACTTAGAAAGAAGTGAGTAATGGAAAAGAATATTACTCTTGTATGTATGATAAATTCAAAGCATCTATTTTCCTTTAGAAGATGCAGCAGTTGTAGTAATCTAAGAGATTTATTCCTCTCTGTGCAAGCTCCAAAACAGGAGGTTAAATTTGGCTTGGAAGCATAGTAATTTCTCCTAAGTTTTTGGGCTGGCAAATTATAACAAGAGAGCTTTCAGAAATCTTTTTTCCTTAGGCATAAACCATTTATCCAGTAAGGTCAACAGCAGGCAAGGCAAATGGACTGAGGTCCACACCTATGGGTACATCAGTGTTACTGCAGCAGTACCTGGAGTCTAACTGGACCAAAAACTTTTTAATGCCATTTGGGAGTTGGAAGGTTTGGGACCTGTCAGCAGGGGTGAGAACCAAAACTGGAGAGCTGAGACAGAAAAGGGAGAGCAAATGTTGACTGTAGAGAAAAGACTAAAAAAGAATAGGGGGTAAGGTAAAATTATTTCCAGAAACACATAAGCCACTTGAGAATTCAGAATTTATTAGTAGTGCTTTCTTCTGATCTGGCAGTATTTATTGCTTACCTATGTATGCATTAAGGATTCTTGCAGCAAAGGTGAGTCCTACCAAGGCTGTCGCTGCAGTTCATCAAAGGCAAGACCTGGTGCCTGAGAGCAGCAGCAGCTTGGGAGCGTTCCTGGAACAGTGAGCCAGGAGGGGCACACTCAGCAGTGCTGTTTCTAGTTGGCCAAATGTCTTCTCACCAGACTCAGAACCTTCAACAAAGGAGGAGAGGTGTCAAGGAAAATTCTGCTGTTTAAAATTCCCAGATAATATAGAAACTGTAGATAAAGAAATTGTTTGAAAGGTACTGTGGCTACTGGATGGAACTGTAGAAATAAATATATGCATGACTGTCAAGGTCTCTTGGAAGTACTGATTATCAACAGTACAAATTAAAAACTCAAAATGTAGGAAAATGCCAGAATTCACACAGGCCACTTAAAGTTATTTCATCCTTCTTGTGTATGGCTGATATTTTAGTTACATGATCATTCCCTCTGTTTTTTGTGGTCTCCAGCATCCCATAGGTCATGACAGATGGTGGTCATTGAAGGGTCATTCAGTTTCTTGTTTCCTGTTTGCAAAATTATGTCCATTGAGATCATAAATCATAGAATGGCTTCAGTTGGAAGGGATCTTAAAGGTTATCTACTTCTAGTCCCCCCTGCCATAGGCAGGGACACCTTTCACCTGAACACGTTGTTCAGAGCCTCATCCAACGGGGCTTTGGACACTTCCAAGGATGAGGCATCCAAAGCTTCTCTGGGCAGTCAGTTCTTGTGCTCCTTACAGCAAAGAATTTCTTGCTTGTATCTTACCTAAACTTACTCTATTTCAGCTTCTGTTAAAGAAAGTGAATAAAGTCAGCTACTATTATCTAGAACCTTCTGAGCGTGTATGAGCAGCTACTTACTTCAAAAAATTTGTTTAAGTTTTAATGGGTAAAGCAAAAGGCATGCCCCAATATGAAGATCACCTCTTTTCTCAAGTCAACTCCCCTCTTGAATGCATGAAACAATGAACTTTTCAAAGTCCACTAAAGGTTTAAACATTAAAAAACCGTGTATTTTACTTAATCTCATCATTGGAAACAGATCAATCATTTTGGAAAAAGATTTTTTTTTGTTGTTCTGAGGCAGATGTTCAGTATGGAAGATGTCAGACTACATGGTTAACTTAGAAGACATGAACAAAACATTTGGGTGTAAAGGGAAGGTCCAGCTGACACTGATCTGTAAAGAGCAAATCATTTCTATGGAAGTGCATAATCCAGCAGCAAGTTTAGAAGCAGAGTTCCAGCTAACCCAACATTTTCCAGGTGCTGAAAAAGGGCACAATTACAGTAGCTATCTGAACCTAATTACTGTCCCATTGTACTGCTGCAAGGAGTCCTAAAGTGCCAATTCAATTTTCTATTATTGGCAGTGATAAAGTCATACGAGTTGTTCCTGAGAGCGAGAGGGAAACACAGATCCTGAGGGCTGCATTCAACAGGCTTAAGGTGAGTTTGATTATTTTCATCTTCTTTTTCTGATCTTTTTTGAAGACTATAGTGGATTCACTGACTTGCCTTTCATTTGGCATTTCAAATTATTTTATTATCTGGAAAGAAGTCTTTGCTCAATAAATTCCTAATTTACCAATAAATTAGCGTAGGTATTTATTGGTAAATTTTAGATTTATCATGCCTGACAAATTTAACAACACTTGCTTCCTAAAAGTGATACAGGTGCTATATTTGTAAATTTGCTTTCTTTGCTCTTCCACTTCTTGCTAGCATACATAGTTGTTTCATTATCTGCTCAATTGTTATTTAAAACACTGAGTTAGTTCAAGTTGTGAACACACAGAGGAAAATAAAAAAGGCTTCGGTTTAAGAATCTCCCTGGCAGAATAATTTTTAAGAGGCAGATTACAGAGTGTCTAGGACAGGGAGCCAAAATGTTTCTTCCCTGTCCTTTCCCTGCAGATGTAACTGAAAAGCAGCAGTGCCACTGCAGCAGTGCAGCACAGGAGCACTCTGCAGCATGTTGCTCTGCTGGCACAGCTTACAAAGGCAGAGGCAGCATTTCCACAGCAGCCTGGCCCACTGTCCCAGAGCATGGGGACTACCTGTAAGTCAGGTCTATAGTCCTGAAAAAAGGACTGTACCATGCACATGCACTGCCCCCAGGTACTGTGGGACTGGGATAAGCTTCATTAGTAGTCACCAAAACAGCCTAACCCGAGCAGAATCAGGGAAGTAACAATTGGATCAATATGTTGAGTGCCACAGCATTTGCAGCATGTGCAGAAGCTTTGGGCTGCTCACTGCCTTCAACTCCAGCAAGTTATGAGGCAATCTGTGATGTAATTCTGCCTCTGTTGTTGAAACCTTACATAAATGATTGTGTTCTCAGTGAGGAACAAATGAAGGTGCATATAATTTTCTAGTCCAATGGTTAACATCTGGGATACAAGTAAATCCAGTCTCTGTCTGCATACCAAATAAAACTAAGGTGTTAGAAGAGCTCTTACAGCCTTCCATCTTTCAGTTATGATGAAGCTATCTTGCTAGTGTGCTTCAAAGAAAGAGGACTGAGCTACTTTAGGTACCTTAGCCCAGGAGAAGGCTTACTGCTGTGAATACTCCAGTACTCAAGACACTGACCCCTTACTAGCTTTAAGTAGGAAAGCTGAGGCTGTCTTCATCACATCTGCATTTCTTAACACTGGTTGGTTAGTTCACCTTTCAAGATGCTGTACTTTCAACCCCATTCTCAAGACATCCAGCCTGTGCACATGTTGAATGAAAAATTTCAATGTTCAAAAGAGGCAGTGTCATGATGCCATGGATTAGACACTTTGCACTCTATTGCCCAACTCTCCTGTAGAATATTATCTCATATTTGTTTCTGTACTGCTTATTAAGGACCTGACCTTCTCCTGTGAATGTTACTGTAACACCCCAAAAAGGATACGAGTTTTATTCTCAGTTAGGAAAAAAACCCGCCATAAACCTGAGCAATAGATGTGGTTTTTGCATTAATTTCTCCCCCCTGGAAGTTGGAACATAAAGAGGGAGCACATGTGTTTTTTTCCTTTCTCCTCATATTGTAAAGGCTGAGAAGCAAAGGGGTTGCTCACCTTCCTGTAACTGTTTCTCATTACAGAGCTCCCTTAGGCTCCCAGAAAGAGATTCCTTCAAATCAAAGTGGGAGCAGTAGAAACTTGAATAAATGATTGCATACTGTAACTCTGAGAGCAGGATAATAAAATTTTGGCAAACTTCAGCAGAATCTGACTAGTTAATTAGAAAATGATTGATTCTGATGAGAAACTAAGCTGAGGGGGTTGAAAGGATGACTCAAAAAAGAGAGAGTGTAGTGACACCCAGTTTCATGAGCACAGGCTGGGTTTGGCTGCCTGTCAGGTCTTAGGGCTCTTCCATCTGCAGCTGCTTCACTGCCCATCTGCATGGGGTGGAAGAGACACACGAGTGGATAACAAGTAATAGACATGTTTAACATTAATTTGTCATATTTCCACCCTGAAAAAAACCCCTCGAGTTATGTCCTCATGAAGAAGTGGATCAATAATGACACTCCTCAGAAATGCCCAGTCCCTACAATAGCAGCACAAGTCAGTTGTGGCTGTAAGTCATCAGGCAGCCCCACTGGAGAACCCTGTATTTGGAGCTGTGCAATTTTTAAGTCTCCATGTCAATTCTCCCCATCCTTCTCTCACCCCCAGACTTCCAGAGTTGAAATTCAATGTTCAGGGGATTTATGTTCTGGTTTTTAAATACAAGCCTTTAAACACAGTGCTGATTATATGCTCTAGAGAAAATGGAAGATAGTGCACAAAAATCCCCCCAAAATCCTCATAGGGCAAAATAAGCTGCAAACAAACCCCAGATATAGTCCTGTTGCCATCTTACCAGAATATGCCTGACAAACAATAGAAATATGAGCAGGAGTGTCAACAGAAATGTATGAATTGCTATAATTACAAAGACTGCACTTTGGATTTCTTCATTTTTGAGTCAGAAAACCAGAACTAGTTTAAAGACACATCTCCTTTGAATCTGTTTTGGTTTGAGCAGTAAATTAATACCAACCTGCTACATTACTCACACATTCTGTTCCTCAAGGGGGAAATAAAGATGGAACCAGGATCTTTTCAAGATATTACAGTTTTGTTATGTTACTCAGTGTTGTGCAAAATTTGGTTTTCAACCTGAGTTATGATGTGGCCTGATAGTATTCTCTACCATTGTCATTATTATAAGAATAAGAAAAGTCAATAAAAATAAAACTGATATAATTTTTGTTGTTGAATTGAGAAGAATACATGTACTTGGGTTTCAGACATCTTTCTCTACCCTGGAAAGTTGGTCTACTAGAGATGAGGTATATTTCAGAGGGCCAAAAGTTACATTCTCTTGGCATGTCAGGATTAGTCCCAATTAGTAAAACAGGAATTGCAGTGCAAAAGTCATTTGGGGAGCCCAGTTTACCCCTGGTGTGATCCATGCACAACATAAATATTTGGAATAAATTCCCAGGAGAGTGCAAGCACAGGATAGGTTCTGCACAAATGGATTGTATGCCTGTTGCAGGATTTCCTTGCACAGAACAGACCATCTGTGGTAATAAGGCAAAGGGAACATAATCCCTCCTGTCCCAGGCTTCCTCCTCGCTGTGTCTGGTGGAGGGAGGTTTTCTGCAGACTTGTGGTGTTCTGTGCTCATTTCAGCCATCCTATAAATTTACACTTGTATGGCAGAGTGATTTAGCCTTTTCTTCCAGCATACATTTCATAACCCAAAGAATTATAAGAAAAACTCCTCTTTGTTCAGTTCAAATGACCCTATCCTGCTGAAGGGCATTATCACAAAGAAGCTTGAAAAAATGATCCTGATGATCCCATTGCTAGGGCAATGTATTTTGATGTCAGGCAGAGAATAAAGCAAATGCAAAGATACCCCTCCTTATTGCCTACTGATTTGGACAAAGGGAAGAGAACCAAGAAGAAAATAAACCAGCAGTGAAAGAACAGCAATGTGTCATAAATAAAATTTCACTAATTTTATCTGCCAGCTTCTTAATTACTGTCCTTACCACTGATTTTTCCTGAGTAGATTTTGTCATTTACAGTCTGCTCTAACACCAGAGCAGTGGGGAAGGAAGTGGTGCGAGCTCTGCCTTTTGCCATGCTGAAGCCATAGAGGTCAGCAAGGTCCACCCCTTTTCAGAAAAGCACCAGAGACCAAAGGAATACTTTCCTGAATGTGCATTTATAGAAACCTACACTGAGACATCCTTGAAGAATCATCCAGGAACTGGCTGTATGTCTCTATGTATTTGAAGTATCTTAGAATGTGTCCCCAGTGATTAACTTGGACAGTGACAGTTGAGCTAAAACATAACCCCCAAAATTCATACAAGAATTTCAAGAACTACTGAAGGTTTTTAGTGCACATGGAAACCTCTTGATGACAAGAGCAAGGACTGCTCTTCTACCAATACCTGAGCTGTAAGGTTAATTCACATATTTTTACAGAAGTTGTAGTCCCTAAGAACATCTGAAACCTAGCATCTGGAGCTCCTCAGGAGGGATATTTGCCCCCCCTTTTTAAGGGAAAAAACAAAAAGAGTCCATATAATGCTTGGTGTAACAAATCCCTGAATGCTACCCGAATTGTCCAGGCTCTGCTACTGTATGAATGCCATTGCCTATAGTGAGTGAATAATGGATAATGAATGTTTCATTCCACACATTTTACTTTTGTTCATGAATTGCCCAGTGGCAAATCACATTAGTCATAATCACTTGCTGAGTAATTTCCACAAATTAGTTTTGGTCTGTAGCTCCATTGCTCACAGTACTTTGTTATTAATCATTATTATAAATGGATTCCTTCATAGGCTGGTTCTGTTAACGTTGAGGTGACAGAATATTGCTTTTTTTTTCCCTGGTGGGGTGAACATAGCATGTAGATCTGCACTGCCAGTAAAAATAGCCAGCTGTATGGATAAAAATTTTTCTGCTGTAAGTTCTGTAAAATTGCTTGAACGTGCATGTATTCAACCAATAAACTCAGCTACAGTAAAGAATAAATATAGAAGCCTAAATATAATGAGTCAGATCAGCTCAAAGCAGAAGGAGGGGGCTCTGGGCCAGACCACTCTTGTCTCAGCCAGGCTGAGTAGGGTTCCCTGTGCCTCCCCACTGTAGGACTACATCTCTCCAGAACAAGTTCTCAGAAACTCTTGTGCATCATGCACTGCTGGGTATGCAATTATTTCTTAGGGCAATATGTGTCTGAGGTCAGAAGAAATGAGGAGATGGGGAACAGAGAGCCATGCTCTTTTTTGAGGCAGGAGATGGCAGTTTCTGGTTTTCACTGAGTGACAGAGGTAGTAGCAGCTGGCAGATGCCATCAGTATGTGTACGGCAGGATCTCTGGTCTCCAGCATGTTCCTACATCATTTCTGTCAGTCTCTGTGGAGAAGAAAA